AATTAGTAAATATTTTTTCACAATTATTTATAAGGCATTTGAATTTATTATTATTAGATAAATGACTTAATTTATGAAACAATAAACTTTTTTTAGTCCTAATATTGTACTGACATTTAGGCCCAAAAAACACGTGAATCGCATGTTGTTGTTATCCATACGTGTGTTGTTGTTGTTGTCATAACAGTCACTATAATCAGTAATTTTCGTAGAAATCCAATCATTAGTTGTTTTGATATTTATTTCATTCAAGCCATCAATTGTTTCAAACAATTCATAGCAATTGTTATTAATTTGTTATAATTTTAATGACAAACATTTCAATTCATAAAATTTATTAAAATTATTAATAGTTTTGTTTAATAACAACAAATCCATTATTGTTTAGAAAATTTCATATGAAAGTTAAATCACTTTTTAATATTACAGATTAAATATTAGTTATTTTTAAAAAATATATATATATATATAATTACAAATATATAAAAATGATAGAAAAATATTGTATTTATATTTAAATAAATTATTATTATTTTTTTTATAAATTAATTGTTAATAAATGATTAACATTTTATATACATTTCAAATTTTTTTCAATTGTTTTTAATAAATTAATATTTGATGTAAAATATTAAATATATTATTTTTAATACATATGTTATGGAATTGTTTGACAATTTTTCATAAATAAAAATTTTTTCTATATTTTTATATAAATAAATTTTTACTAATTATATTTACTAAAAAAATTAATTTTCATTAAATTATTTTAATTAAAATGTGTGAGAGAATACATTCAATTTATATACCATAAAAATAATTATTAATACTATTAAACTATACCTAAATTATTTTGTTACAGTTTTTAAAATCTATAAATATATATTTTTTCAAAAAAAATGTAATATAAATATTTTAAATAAATAAATATTACATTTATTATTGCATATTTTGTCGTATTGTTGACAATAGTTTTTTTTTATAAATAAATTATTTATTTATTTAGTTAATAATAAAAGTTTCAAAATTATTTTAAAAAAAACATTTTTAAATATAGAGTTTAAAACAAAGTGATAATAAATTTTATTAATTAGTAATTATTATTTTATTATTATTTTTATTTAAATATTATTAATATTTAATTATTAAAACTATTAATCTATAACTAAATTATTTTTATATATAAATGCTTTAATCTATATTTTTATTTAAGTCAAACAAATTGTTAAATAAATAAATTTTATCATATATTATTAAATTAATATTAACTAATTATTATTTTTTATTTTTTAATTAATATTTTTGTTATTATATTTTTTTATAGAAATAAAAAATGTAAAATATAGTCTATATTTTACAATTAATTTTTTTTATTAATTAATTATATTAGTTATCATTTTTAAAAAACTTTTCCAAATTAAATGGTTTTCATCGGCAATCAGTTGATCATTGATTGGACAAACATTTTTTACCTATGAATCAATAATTATTTTTTTATTGTTATTCAAATATTATTATTAATTACTTAATTTAAACAAAAATAATAATTAATTAATTACTACTTATATTTCCAATATTTTCAATTAATTTATTATTAATTATAAGGGAGATCACTATCACTTCAAAAATTAGATTATAAAAATAATTATAAATACTTTAATAAAACTATAGCTTAAATAATTTGTTACAGTTTTTTAAATGCTTTTATATATATATATAGTCAAACAATTTTGAATAAATAATTTTTATCATATCATTATTATACTTATTAATTTTAATTTTAGTATTTTTATGATTAATTTTAATTTTGTATTTATTAAATTATAGTTAATGATTTTTATTATATTTTTTAAACTATATAATATAATATAAATTTTCCAATTAAATATATTTTTTTAATGAATAATTAAGTAAATAATTAATTAATTAACAATATTTGGAATCATTTTAAAAACATTTTCCTCTACCCCCCACCCCTTAATTAACCATTAGATATATATATATATGTTTAGCATTTTTATGTATATAATATATATATTTTTATTAAAAATAATAATAACTAGTTTTATTTTTATTTTTTTTGTTTTTCTTATTTAAATAAATGTTTTATAATAAGTTTGAAATAATTTTTAGAAATAATTTATTATTATTATTATATAAAGTAATTAATAAAAAAAAATTTAATTACTACTTATATTTACTAGAAATTATATGTTTTATTTAATAATATGTTTCATTTGACTCCCATCAAGTAATATATCATAAAAAAATTAATTAATACTATGAAATTATAGCTAAATAATTTTAATTACAGTTTCTAAAAATGCTTTTATATATAATATTTTTATGAATTTTTTCGAAATTAATTATGAAATCTAAATTTTTATCTCAATTGTAATAATAATTTTTTTTATAAAAAAAACATATTTAAATGATTTTTCTTATTTGAATTAATCCGAAATTTGGGCAAAAAAAGCACGTGATAATAATAATAACTTATGAAAAATTTGAAAAATAATATCACATAAAAAAACATTAAATATAGTCCACTTAAAACTAAAAATTATTAATTAAAACATTATTAATTAAAAGTTAATAGTATTACAAATATTTATTACTACAGTTTTATATAAATAAATGCAATTAATTAAATATAAATATTATTTTTAACTATATATAAATATTTCTATAAAAATTATACAATTGTGTTTTTATTTAAATTATAATTATAATTTAAAAACTTAATGAATAATTTAAGTAAATAATTATATTTTATATAAATATTAAAATATTATAATATTTAACTGTTTAAAACATTTTTCACATAAATTAAAATTTATATTGTAGGGGAAGTGGGGTATTACTGACATTTAGGACTAAGCTAAACTAACTTATGTAAACCAAAACACTCGGTAATATACCACCGGCCCTTACGGTTGGGCTCTCAACCCGGTCGGTTTCGTGGTGTGTGGCTTAAGGGGCGAGCGGATCCCCTTGTTCCCCGACATAGTCGGGTAACTCCTACTATACGGGAGTAACCGTGTTCATGTTTGTAGTTGACAACGGACATGTCATCGGGTATGCAATTACCTTCAGGATAGGATACCTTATAGATGGATTACCATATACGTAGGTTGCTTTATAGGAGTTAACCCATAAGTAGGTTATCATATATGTAGGTTGCCGTATAGGTAGGTTATCTTATAGGTAGGTAAACATACAGGTAGGTTATCTTATAGATGGACTACCATATCGGCAGACAACTATAGATAGGTTACCGTGCAGTTAGATTACCTTATAGATAGGTTACCATATAAGCAGGTTACATTATAGATAGTTTACTATATGAGTAGGTTCCTTATAATCAGATTACAATATAGGTAGGTTATCTTATAGGTATGTTATCCTAAAATATTGCATACCTCAGTGTCTCTGTCATGTCGTTAGTTTAGGTTCTCTCGTAGGTTCATCTGTAGGTACTCTCGTAGGTTCACCTGTAGGTACTCTCGTAGGTTCACCTGTAGGTACTCTCGTAGGTTCACCTGTAGGTACTCTCGTAGGTTCACCTGTAGGTACTCTCGTAGGTTCACCTGTAGGTACTCTCGTAGGTTCACCTGTAGGTACTCTCGTAGGTTCACCTGTAGGTACTCTCGTAGGTTCACCTGTAGGTACTCTCGTAGGTTCACCTGTAGGTACTCTCGTAGGTTCACCTGTAGGTACTCTCGTAGGTTCACCTGTAGGTACTCTCGTAGGTTCACCTGTAGGTACTCTCGTAGGTTCACCTGCAGGTACTCTCGTAGGTTCACCCGTAGGTTCACCTGTAGGTTCACCTGTAGGTTCACCCGTAGGTTCACCCGTAGGTTCACCTGTAGGTTCACCCGTAGGTTCACCCGTAGGTTCACCCGTAGGTTCACCCGTAGGTTCACCCGTAGGTTCACCCGTAGGTTCACCCGTAGGTTCACCCGTAGGTACACCCGTAGGTTCACCCGTAGGTTCACCCGTAGGTTCACCCGTAGGTTCACCCGTAGGTTCACCCGTAGGTTCACCCGTAGGTTCACCCGTAGGTTCACCCGTAGGTTCACCCGTAGGTTCCAATAAGAGTTCGGGTGTGAGATGCCCCCGTATACGGTACGGTGCCGGAGTTCTCATAATAAAAATATTTACTTACGTAATAGTTGTTTAACGTCCGCGTGGTTATGGATGTATTCTGAAGGCGTCCCTTAAGATGTCCAACGATTGGTCCGCGTCGAGAAAGTAAACACACACAAAGTAATATGCAAATACTTTTATTAATTCACTCTAAAGCAATACACGTAGTATGACTCCAAGTGGAGAACTGATTTTGGTGTCTGAGAGACACCTCTATTTATACTAAAGTGTACGTGAGGAGAAAGTGTGTCACATTGAGTCAGGATTTAATCACTATTAAAACTGGGAGTTTACTATTTAATTTTTTCTATAACATTTTAGTGCATTATTTTAACACTCTATTTAACACAAAATATTGGATAAAGTTTCCTTAAAAACAAGGTGTTTACCTTTAGGTTTTTTGTAAAACATTTTAGTGCTGTTATAAATTTTTAACAAATAAAAATAAGAATAATTTTTGAAATAATTTTTCAGAGTATAACAAATAAAATACCCTTACAATATATCCTTGACTTCAATATAAAATTATTTAATGTTGAAATATTAGTGTATATAAGCATTTGTTTATTATAGGGAAAGTTTTCAATAATTTAGCTTATGTAATAATTATGTTTTTAATTATTTAAATAAAAACAAAACTATTTTGCTGATTTGACCCACTATTGCATTTCCGCCCCTTCAAGTCTTCATCTGTCCTCAGATGTGTAAAATCAGTAACACTAATAACTCATGTACACATTAGTTTACAAATTTATAAAATATTACTATAAAATCCCTTCACCTTAAAAAAATGCATGCATTATATAAACTTTAATCTAAAATACCAATAAACCATGCATTATAATAAAATTTTAACCATTGTCCGTTTTCTGATCATCATTGTGCTTTGTTTCTTTTTCCGTGTTATCATCTATTTCATCGTCCAGTTGATTTTCATTGTCATTTTGTGTAGTAATATGTTTAGCATTGTTACTATCTACTTCATCAATGCCGTCCAATTCAGGAATTGTTTCATTGTTCCATTTTCTTAATCGTCTTATATGTACTTTCTTAAACTTTTTCCTTGGATTATGTACACTTTGGACAGTGTATACAAGTGGACTGTGCCGCGTAATTATCTTATAAGGGCCAATATATTGGCTTAGTAATTTCGTACTAAGACCAATCTCTCTGTGAGGAATATGTAGTGACACCAAGTCACCCTCCTCAAATACTACATCGCGATGTTTAGCATCATAACGGAATTTACCATCATTATGAGCCTCTATAATTCTCATATGAACCAATCTTCTTGTCTCCTCCATATATTTTAAATAATTAGTGCCAAATGCAAAGTCACGCGGCAGATCATAAGATACGTCAATTGGTACTTTTGGTTCTCTTCCATATAGTAAGAAAAACGGAGAAACTTTGGTAGCTTTATGATGACTAACGTTATACGAGAATGTTACTTTGGGTAAGTACTGGTCCCAATTGGTAACATTATCTTGAACATAATGTTTAAGCATCATAGCTACAGTCCCACATGCTTTTTCTGCTGTTCCATTCGATTGTGGACTATATGGTGTCGTTTTCACATGTTTGGAGGCTGTCAACTTAAAGACTTCTTCCATAAAGTCTGATATAAAGTATCTGGCATTATCTGTTAACACTTTTTTAATGGCGCCGTGTCTTGCCAATACTTCATCTACAAACCATTTCGCTATGGTAATGGCTTGTACATTCCTCACTGCCTTTGTCTCCATCCATTTTGTAAATAAGTCAATCATTATTATAATGTATTTACTGCCTTTTGACGTCGGAGAGAGAGGCCCAAGTATGTCTACTCCGACAATTTCAAATGGTTCATTGGCATCGATAGGCTGCAGCATTCCTTTCTCCAGTTTATTGTCGACTTTATTCAACTGACATGACTCGCAGTTGTTTACGTATTTTCTGATTGACTTTTCACAGTGAGGCCAGAAAAATCTCTCTTTGATTTTTCCATATGTCTTTTCAAATCCTAAGTGAGCTCCGGACAACTCATTGTCATGTAAATCTTGTAGGATTTGTCGTCTTAATTCTTTAGGAAGGCATAACTGTAGCCTCCTATTTCTATTATCATCATAACTTATCCTATATAGAATTTCATTTTCAATAATGAATTTGCTTAAGCTTTTACTTTGTTGATTATTTTTTATTTTCTCTTTTAATTCTTTACACCATTTATCACTATCTTGTTTCTCTATTATGTTTATTGTAGGATTTATTAGTACTGGTATTACTGGTTCCCAATCGTCTGGTTTTTCGTATGGATATCTTGATAATGCGTCAGCATTGTTATGTAATTTTCCTTTCTTATATTTCACTTCAAAGTCATATTCTTCGAGTATTGTTCTCCAATGCATTAATCTTCTGTTTGGGTTTTTCAAATTTCTAATATATTGTAGTGGATTATGGTCACTATATACCACAAAATGTTCGCCATATATGTAATGTCGATACCTTTCAACAGCCCATACTATAGCTAAACATTCTTTTTCTGTGATACCATAGTTTAGTTGTGCACTATTAAACATTTTACTGTTGTAACTGATGACGACATGTTTACCATTTTGAATTTGTCCTAGTATTGCTGACATGCCATAGCCACAAGCATCAGTGAATATTTCAATAGGGGCACCTTCTTGATATTGTGCCAGTATTGGAGCTGTAATTAATCTATTTTTAAGTTCATCAAACGCTTTTTGACATTTAATATCCCAGTTAAATTTAACATCTTTGCGCAACAGGTTTGTTAATGGTTCGGCTACAAAAGCATAATCTTGTACAAACACTCTATAGTAATTTGCTAGTCCAAGAAAGCTTTGTACATCTCTAACTTTCTTAGGTATCGGGAATGCTTTAACTGATTTTATTTTGTCTTCATCTGGCTTTATTCCATCCGATGAAACTATATGTCCTAAATATTTTACTTCTTTGCAAAGAAATTCACATTTTTCAATGCCTAGTCGTAGATCATATTCTCTAATTAATTTCAAGACGCTTTCCACGTGTCGTAGATGTTCATCAAATGTATTGGAGAATATTATTATGTCATCCAAATATACTACGACAAATTGATACAATACATTTCTTAAAACTTTTTGCATATATCGTTGAAATGTCGCCGGTGCATTGGTAAGACCAAACGGCATCACTTTAAACTGATATAAGCCATCAGGTGTTATAAATGCTGTCTTCGGTCTATCTGATACTTTTACATGAATATTCCAATATCCACTTAATAGGTCCATAACAGTAAAGTATTTACTTCCTTCAAGAGCTGCGAGAGCGTCGTTAATCAATGGTAAAGGATGTCTATCTTTGATTGTAATAGAATTTAGTTTTCTGTAGTCGACACAAAATCTAATTTTCCCGTTTTTCTTTTTAACCAATACTACAGGAAAACTATATGGTGATTTACTTTCCTCGATAACATTTGCATCCAACATTTCTTTTACTTGTTGTCGTATTATTTCTTTTTCTTTTGGTGAATTTCTATAAGCGCGTAGACGTACTGGTTCTTCAGTTGTTAGCTTAATTTCGTGTTCAACATCAACAGCTTTACCTAATTGTAATACAGATTCTCCAAAAAGATCTCTATTCTTTTCAAGCAATCTAAACATTTTTTGTCTCTTGTAATTATCAGTAGTAAGGATATGAAACTGTTTTTTATTATCATCTACGCTTTCAATCATATAATTCTCTTCGCATCCGTATTGAGGGTATGATATTAGGTACATTAAGGCTATTTTGAAATTTTTACACAAGTATTTATTAGCTTTTGACGAATTGTATAAAATGACATCTATTGGTTTTTGTAAATCAATAAGTGTTTCTTGTATTACAATCTGATAATCGTCATACAGTCTCTTAACTGGTTTAAGGAAACCAAATTGTGTATTAGGTGGTAGATTACTTGTGTCAATCTCACATTTAGCATTAGTCATTGTTTCATTTGGAATGTGATAATCTTGACGTAACCTTACTTCTAGGGTTGAGTCTGGTTCCTGTATTATAAAATCTGAGTTTATCCAATCGATTTGATCTTCATTTCCAAAGTCTAGCTTTAATTTTGATTTTCTGCAAAAATCAAGACCCAGAAGTGCTGAATATTTGATTTCATCGAATATGTAGAAATCTTGAATGTAAATCTCATTGTCGACTTCAACATTCAATTTAACGTACTGTCCTAATTCATAGCGTTTGTTATTTAATAGTAATATTTCTTTGCCTTTCCTTTCTTTTGGCTGTTCTTTTAACCTTGTTAATAGTTCAGAGTTAATTATAGATACTGTTGATCCTGTATCTATAATTGCTGTTACATGTATATTATTTAATTTAATTTTTCTTTTGATAAGCGTTGTCGAATCCTGAGGAGACCGGTCAAGGTGGACGAAATTATTCTCCTCAGTTAATTTCGTCGCCACCCGTTTCCCTTATTGTTGTTATTAACACGACAATCTCTGGCAATATGGCCTATTTTGTTACATTTGTAACATTTTACTGTTTTAGTCCAATTAGTGTCTGAGCGTCGCTTTTCTTCTTTAGTGTCCTCTTTAGTCTCCGATATTTCCACAGGCTCTTTGGGCGCAAATTGATTTCCTCTCAACATTAAACGTTTCATGTATCTAATATTTTCTTGCATTTGCTGCATTTCCCGTGATTGTTGTTGTTGAAATGCGTTTTGTTCTTTCGGGCGGTTATCCACAGGATTATAATTGAATCGAACTCTTCGTTTACCCGCTTCTTTTCGTTGATAAAGTCTGACATCACAAATTCGTTTTACAAGTCCTTTAAATTCTTCGACCGTCTCACATGGGTTAGTAATCATTTTGTCCGTCACTTCGTCTTTCAAATCTCCTACCATACCATTCAACATATTAGAAATTATCTCAGTGTCTGTCATTCCCGGGTTGGTTAGTTTAATTACACCAAACTTTTCTTCCCAATATTCATCAAAGGAGTTTTTCTGGGTTGCATCAAATATTTCTTGAGTCACCAGAATTTTGTGCATTGTATTAGTAAAATTATTAATTAGATTTGTTCTAAACTGTTGCCAATTGTTGATCTTATTCATGATACGCTGATTCTGATACCATAAGTGGGCAGCACCCTCTAACGACCCAATAACTCTTTTCAACTTTATAGTATCGTCCCACATGTTAGCGTCAGCCACTAAGTCATAGTGATTAAGCCAAATAGTCGGGTTTGTAGTACCATTATATGATTTAGGATTAAGTATTGGTAATTGTGTTCTGACGCGAGAACTCAATGAAGGCGGTGGAGGTACAGGATTTTGTCCTTGTGTTTCCTGTGTCTCGCCAAAGCTTACCGAGTTCAAGTCGTCATACAGAGCTGACGGCTCGGTTTGATGAAATTTATCTTGAAAACTCTCCTTCCATAGTAATCTAGTTATTTTGATAGTTTTATTTATTTATTTTTATTTTTATTTTTTTATTAGTTATGATTAGCGAGTGTTTAGTGCACGAGTGTTTTGGTTCTATAATCTCTTAGAGCTAATTTGGGCAACAAGGTTTTGTTAGTATCATCGTTGTCTGAGTCAATTAATCGCAGTGGTATGTGGTCTCTATTTACTTCCGCCAATTGACTTGATACATGATAACCTTTTACTATGTTAACGTAACACCATCCATAATTACATTCAATTTGAAGAGCGTCCGGCTTTGGCTTTGATGTCCATTCAATGTCAGAAAGTGGAATACTTATTTTTTGGTTTCGAACCCTTACTCTTTGACCATCCTTATCATAGCCAATCAAATGCAAAGTATCAGATAATACAAGCAATTTATTTTTGTTGACTGTTTTTGTATACCAATATACAACAGGATTTTTACATCTGACTTCGTACACACGACTCATAGGCATACTTGTTATTGGAAGTTTTATAAAAATATTTTCGATACTTTTGTATCTGAAAAACGCGGTTTCGTTTGGTATGTTAAGTTCAATTAAATATAGATAATATGGTGTTTCAGTCGTCGAATATCTTCCATAATGCGTTGAAAACTTAATTGTACGGAACCATTGTGTTGATATCAGCATTGACATAAGTAACATAAAAATAATGACCATAACGACTCTAATAACCCATGATATGGCAGTTGCGGAATCCATCACTTCCAAGCTGACAGCAGGAAATATAGATATATCTGGTATTAGTGAAAATGCCTGTACTGGCCGCGGTTCTATTATGGTTAAACCAACTCCCATTATACCGAAAAATCTCGTATATGTTAATGTTCCGAAGATTACGATTAATGTGGATAATGTGTGTAATAAATCACCAATTAATGCAAACATTCCCCAAAAACGGCCTCGTATTCTTCGATTTTTCCATCATTAAGTTTTTCCAACATGGCATCCCAGACTTGTGTGTTATTGTCTTCACTCTCAGGCTCTAAGGTAATATTCAGTAGGTATCTTGTTTCCAATTTTGAATCAATTTTCTTCGACAATTCGTCTATTAAGGCTGACACATAAGCATAATTGGTATAGTCCATAGAACCAGTTAAAGGTTCAGAATAGGGTCCGTATAACTTCTGTCTAGTTTTCGGTATGAAAAGGTAACATCCTTTACGTACACTTACTATGGTAGCCCACTCGATTAAGGTATGTTGTACCGTGGCTTCGTTCTCACAATGCTCGTAATACGTGTCTACTACATTTCCATGTAACATGTATTGATAGTTGTTTAATTTTATTACACGATAGTCGTCCACATGCCTGGGTATTAAATCGCAATATTTTGCTATATCCTTTGATACAAATTGAGTAATTGCTTTCGTACACATATTTGGGCTTCTTAAAAGTTCGGGTGAGAAAGTAAAGCAAAGTTGTTCGTCGTATGTTTGTGTACAACTGAAATGTGTGAGCTCTGCTTCTTCGTCTACTTGATTGGATATTTCGTTAAGCAACCACACAGTGTTATCCAATTTAAATGACATTAATGTAGAATTTATTACTCCTTTAAATTGACAGTGATTAGTTATACAGGGAAACGGCAAACTATTCGGAGTATATATGCGAAATTGATTTTGCTCTGTTGGATGTTTTAACGGAATTTTTATTTTTAAATACAGATATTTTTGAGTGATATTCGTATTGGCATTGATTTCATCTCTAATCAAATATTTCGTGAATGGTAAACTATAAAAAAGTATTTGGTCTTGTTGTTCAATGGCTATTTTGTATTTGCCATTAAGTTGATTATCAATTTGACTCAGCATTTCAGTTAAGGTGAGCGAATCAATCAAGTCTCTTGGAATATATCCTTTTCTTAATGCTATGAACATTTTATCATAATAGTTCAATTGTTCCAACTCCATTAGGACTAGATTTTGTAATTTTTCAAATTGTTTATTGTTAAAGTCACGAATGATATCGAGTATGTCTCGTTTTTGAAATTCAATTCTCATTGCACTTTTGAAATCTTTCAATTTTTTATCCATATTTTGCATCTGTTGTTTCGTAACATTAGCCAGCATTTGTATTCTCTCATTTATTACTGTAAAACGTGCGTTAGTTGCTTCTGTTAAACCAATAAGTGCATTTTGTAACAAATGGGTTTTCTTATTAGTTTTATGAATTTCTTTACTGAGATCGTTAATTTTATCTTCTAAGCCTTCATTGTTTTTCCCATAAAAGAATCCAGCAGCAAAAGTAGCAATACCGGCCAGTCCAATAGCCGTTAATGTAATTAACTCTCTTTTTCTTCGGTTGTAATTAACTTTAGTAAATAACTCATGTCTCTCTTCTATGAATTTTGTCATTGGTTCCATTATAGCGTTGAAATCGTATTCCAAATATTGGCAATTATTACTTATATAATTTTCTCTGCCAGAAACGAAATCTTGAATTCTTAAAGTGAATGACTCACAATTAGACTTTATGTCATCATATATTTTTGAATATCGCTTGCTATTATAAACGGGTAAGTTGATTTTCATGTACTGAATCCAATAATCACTGAATTTATATGCTCTTCCTGTTTCCACAAAATGCAGTCCATGAGCTGCGGAGTTTGTGATAAACACTTTATTTTTGAAAAGGTTTGGTTGAAGTTCATAAGTTTTCTGTACAAAAAGTTTTCCATAATTCTTTACAGTAGTACTACGAGGCGTCGTAGTTGTTTGGGTATTTATTTTATCAATTAAAATTTTAGGTAATTCTCCCGACAATTTTACAATTGTTTTAGGATTGTCGATAGTAATTGGTATGTACGATACATCAGTAGGTTTTACAGTTGCTTCTGAAGGTTTCGTTGTCACCGAGTCTTCATCGGGAAACATTGTTACTTCTGGAAAATATAATTTACTAGAAGTGGTGGTACTTGTTCCCCGAGTTTCCGCTGCTGACTTCGCGGCCGCAACTTCCCTAAGATTTTGTTCTTCTAATAATTTCATAAAACAATTATAAGCCTTTCCATCATTTTCTTTACCAACGGGTAATATTATTAGGCCAGGAATTATTAAATATTTATCTTCTGAAAAGTCTTTGATTAGTGGACTATCATCGGTAAGTAGGTTACAATCATCATCGTAATAGTTTTCATTATCCTCGAGTGGTGGCTTTCTTCTTTTAACAGTCGTTACTATTGTTGTTGACGTACCAATTGATTCATCGTTCAAATAAGTATTATCTCTCGAATATATCTTTTGTGGTATGTAAACATTTAATCTGTCTTTAGGTATAACTACATGTTTGCCACTGTTACGATCATATATTCGTCCATTAGTAATATGAAAATTTGGATTGTTTTTTAGTATGTTCTGTATGTCTATCGGGTTAACTTGTCTACCATCTTTGACAGTTACGAAGACATCCGGTGTACTGGTAACATGATCATATTTGGCTGTCTGACATCTATGTAAGATGTCAACAATCTCGCTGTTAATTACCAATAGTAGAATAAAATAAACACGTTTGTTTCCCATCACCTTTTTATTTTATTTTATTATTATTTTTTTTAAATTTTGTAAAGAAAGTATACATTTATTAAATCATTGTTTTTTGAGAAAATAGTGTTTACAGGCTTTAATGCCGGATAAAATACAAGGGTCGCCGAGAAAGTTTGCATAAGTTAGTTTACAATCGGGGCATACTTTATACATAAAAGGTAAATTACGAATAATTATTTCTTTTTTATTAGCGGCTATTAGTTTGTTGTCAATAATAGTCATCTTATCGTAGTCCTTCTCAACCATTATTTTATAGACAACTCCAAACGATTTTGTGTCATATACTATAGTACGATTGTATATTTGAGATGTAACAACTAGTACGTTGTTAATAATTTCCATTTCGCCTATAGGGTCAAACGGTACTATGATTTCGTGAAAAGCTTCAAAATGTCTTTTTAGGTTTTCCCATTTGTAAACCAATATTGTAGTCGCCAAATCACCTGGTTCTAGACTTAACTTTTCTGTCGTAACAAAGAGATAGTCTTTTGTTGCGGCCATTAATAGCATACTTTTAAAACGAGTTATTTGTTTCTCAAGTATTATAATAGGTGCGAATCCGATATTAGTTTTTATTAATTTCAGGATGCCAATCCAATTACAGCATGATAGAATTAATAAAACGCAATTTTCGTAAGAGTCGTCCTTTATTTCCGCATAAATGACGTTATCAATAGTGATGCAAATAGGTATTCTTTGAAATATGTGAGCTTGATGTGTTCCATCATAAATAATTTCAAATATAATTCCTTCCTTTGACACTGCTAAGATACCAATCTTAGTGTGAAATATTTTTAAAAAGTTGTATCCACCCGTTACCATATTTACTTTGTTTATTCTTATTTGTTCAATTGCTTTTCCAGAACTTATAAGCATAGATTCGCCGCGATCGGAGCTACTAATGTCGTATATCGGCCCAAGTAAGGAGTACTTTTTCAGTCCGTCATTAGTAGATGGTATATAATTATATATCGTACCATAGTTCGTTCCGATACTGAGGTTGTTGTCATTAACTGATAATGATGTCACCCTTCCACCTATATAATTTTTATCAACCAATTTTGTTTTGAAGTTAGCATAGTTTAAATGTTCGGTGTTAATGGGTGTTTTATTAATTATATCCGGTGTATATTCTGGTTCCGACGGAAAGATCGAATATAACCAATCAGGATGTGCTGAACAAGAATGTGTATACGCTGGTATTTGACGGGTAGTCGTCTCCGATGGGATATATAAAAGATCATATCTGTAGCATTCATTAAAACTGTATAATCTTGAATTATCAAATGATCTTAAATCCGATATAAATCGTTCATTCATTCTATAAAATATGTGATTTGTTTTGTATATTCTCTATGTAATTTGTATGCTAACAAACGCTTAGCTTTGGTATATGATGTACTTATAACCGACAAACAAATTTTCATGGAAGGTATTAGCAGTTGAATGAAATAATCTTCTGGACTTAGCTGACGTTTTTTGATTTTAAATTGAAGGTTATAAGTTTTACAAAATATGATTATACAATTATATGACCTTTTTCCAAGGAGTTGCTTTCTTTTATTATTTAATCCTGAAGCTACAGTAACTAGTTCTTCAGGTGTTAGTTTAATGTCTTGCCAAATTCCGTGTATTCTAATTCTATACGGCATTAAAATGTTCTGCTTACGACAATTAAGCAGTTATTCGATCGTTGCGTACGTCAAGAATTAATGGTTCAGTTATAGCTTCTAAGAAAAACGTATGATCCAACAGAGGTGAGTCCAAAAACGTTGGTAGTAAGTCTACTTTCTCGGTTATCAATGAATAGAACTCGTTTATAAACTGTTTTCTACCATATCTTGGTATTGGAAAATTTAATGGCAAAATGAATATAAGTCCACGTTTGGTTGCGTTAATAAGTTTGTATAAACTATCCACACAATTAAATACTTTTTCTTTGTTGAAATCAATCAAGTATTTGGAACGTACTTCAAACTGTTTGATCGGCAGATACTTGAAGATGTATAAATAACTTTCGGCAATTTGTTGGTCTTCGTTGAATTTTGATTCACTCAAACGTTTATTACACTCACGACAATGTAATAGCATAAGATTGTCGTCAACCAAAATATGACAAAAAGGACAGTAAGAATAACAGGTGTTATTCCTCGGTTTCCCGTACGGAAAATATTTCGGACACATACAGTCTATAATAAATAATACTATTTATTAATCCAACACCAAATTTATTATAATTTTAATTATTATAAGAAATACAAATATAAGGTTATATAAATTATTTGTATCGAATAAAGCTATGTTGGCAAACGATAAATCCACTAGGAAACCCATTTATAATTTGTGGCAAAAAATTCTCACAACGGGTACAACATTTTCCAGTTTGTGGTAAGCGGTTTATTAGCAAATATCCATTGGTTAGCCCTGTGATCATTAAACGGTTTTTATATTTCTGTAGAAATGTTATAAAATTTTCCATCTGAACGGTATACTTGACTGTCATGAACTGCATATCGTAAATGTATATTAGATTACAATCACATACAACCATCATTTCTCCGGCTCCGATGGCTATTTTCCTAACGTGGGACTCTGGTAATCGATAGGTTTGAAATTCCATCTTTGATTGTAACATAGCTTTAACGTCAAAGCTATAAAGCAGTTGTCCAGTTTCTGACAGTTCAACGCCTACAATCTTCATTTCCCCGATTGTGTATAAATTAAGCGGTTGGTTGTCGAATGATAACAATCTTGTCTGATATATAAGTTCATAGTTGAATGAGTGATTTTCAATATAAACTCTAATCAACGCCACGTTCTCGCCATTTTGTAAGAGTAGGATAAGTCCGTCATTTGGATAGAAGAATCGACGAGCAGATAGTATACTAAAATCTGATACTCCTGTTGCCAAATATCCAATAATTTCATAAGTGACGTCGTGAATATTGCCGTCATTGATTCGGATTAATCGCCCTCCATATGTCATCCCTAGTATGCCAAACTCGGTTTTCTGTAGTGAAACTACACGCTCTTCACCGATGTTTGTAATGTTATACGTGTTTGCATTAAAATAGTATATGTTACTATTATCAGTAATTATGTACATCCCATAGTCGTTGAGTGGAACTATACATGTGACCTCATCAGTTGTCGCTACCATTGATAAACGGAATTGATAGCCGTCGAGACTGTAAACGTATAGATATCCAGTGTTGAGTCCAATGACAATTTCTCTTGACGAGATACCAACAGCTGTAACGTACGTGTCGTATGTGTGCCAATTATCGGTCAGTAAAATTTCCGTTGGTGCCATTTTTGGATTTATTGGTGAATATTCGGTGATGACATCAGGTTTAAGTTGTTCCATCCAATGTATATCTACAGGTTTCAACTGATCAGATAGCCACCAGTTACCATCCACTGGTGCCCGCAGACCAGTATCCCAAACCTGGGGTAGGTCAGACTCGGTCTTAACTGTTATCTCGTTTTCATAACAGCCGTGAAAATTTTCAACAAATTGAACAATTGGCTCAACACCCGCATTGATATTAGTAATGGTTTCATCACAAGGTTCAGTTTTGATGCGTTTTGGTGATGACTCACCATAAATCGCATCGATATCTGTATTCGAAATAGGTGACGTTCCAGAAGATAGTTCATCAAATCCGAGTGAGTGCATCTCTTCTAATATTTTATTGTTATCGTATGTAGATAATGTAGTGAAGAAGTCGTCCATTTCTTCTTTGCTAAGCGGGGCAAAGTCTGGACTTTCATATGACGTTGAAGGTTGTGGTTCCATACTACGTAGTGATAAATGTATTATAGGCAACGCCCTAAGACATCATGCTCGGACAGGCCTATAATTTATGTTGAATACTGGCTACGCCCAAAGCCATTCGGCTCGGACTCAACGCCAGTCTCGGGTATCATTTGATCCCTCATCGTTGCTCACCAAATGTAGGGGAAGTGGGGTATTACTGACATTTAGGACTAAGCTAAACTAACTTATGTAAACCAAAACACTCGGTAATATACCACCGGCCCTTACGGTTGGGCTCTCAACCCGGTCGGTTTCGTGGTGTGTGGCTTAAGGGGCGAGCGGATCCCCTTGTTCCCCGACATAGTCGGGTAACTCCTACTATACGGGAGTAACCGTGTTCATGTTTGTAGTTGACAACGGACATGTCATCGGGTATGCAATTACCTTCAGGATAGGATACCTTATAGATGGATTACCATATACGTAGGTTGCTTTATAGGAGTTAACCCATAAGTAGGTTATCATATATGTAGGTTGCCGTATAGGTAGGTTATCTTATAGGTAGGTAAACATACAGGTAGGTTATCTTATAGATGGACTACCATATCGGCAGACAACTATAGATAGGTTACCGTGCAGTTAGATTACCTTATAGATAGGTTACCATATAAGCAGGTTACATTATAGATAGTTTACTATATGAGTAGGTTCCTTATAATCAGATTACAATATAGGTAGGTTATCTTATAGGTATGTTATCCTAAAATATTGCATACCTCAGTGTCTCTGTCATGTCGTTAGTTTAGGTTCTCTCGTAGGTTCACCTGTAGGTACTCTCGTAGGTTCACCTGTAGGTACTCTCGTAGGTTCACCTGTAGGTACTCTCGTAGGTTCACCTGTAGGTACTCTCGTAGGTTCACCTGTAGGTACTCTCGTAGGTTCACCTGTAGGTACTCTCGTAGGTTCACCTGCAGGTACTCTCGTAGGTTCACCCGTAGGTTCACCTGTAGGTTCACCTGTAGGTTCACCCGTAGGTTCACCCGTAGGTTCACCTGTAGGTTCACCCGTAGGTTCACCCGTAGGTTCACCCGTAGGTTCACCCGTAGGTTCACCCGTAGGTTCACCCGTAGGTTCACCCGTAGGTTCACCCGTAGGTACACCCGTAGGTTCACCCGTAGGTTCACCCGTAGGTTCACCCGTAGGTTCACCCGTAGGTTCACCCGTAGGTTCACCCGTAGGTTCACCCGTAGGTTCACCCGTAGGTTCACCCGTAGGTTCACCCGTAGGTTCCAATAAGAGTTCGGGTGTGAGATGCCCCCGTATACGGTACGGTGCCGGAGTTCTCATAATAAAAATATTTACTTACGTAATAGTTGTTTAACGTCCGCGTGGTTATGGATGTATTCTGAAGGCGTCCCTTAAGATGTCCAACGATTGGTCCGCGTCGAGAAAGTAAACACACACAAAGTAATATGCAAATACTTTTATTAATTCACTCTAAAGCAATACACGTAGTATGACTCCAAGTGGAGAACTGATTTTGGTGTCTGAGAGACACCTCTATTTATACTAAAGTGTACGTGAGGAGAAAGTGTGTCACATTGAGTCAGGATTTAATCACTATTAAAACTGGGAGTTTACTATTTAATTTTTTCTATAACATTTTAGTGCATTATTTTAACACTCTATTTAACACAAAATATTGGATAAAGTTTCCTTAAAAACAAGGTGTTTACCTTTAGGTTTTTTGTAAAACATTTTAGTGCTGTTATAAATTTTTAACAAATAAAAATAAGAATAATTTTTGAAATAATTTTTCAGAGTATAACAAATAAAATACCCTTACAATATATCCTTGACTTCAATATAAAATTATTTAATGTTGAAATATTAGTGTATATAAGCATTTGTTTATTATAGGGAAAGTTTTCAATAATTTAGCTTATGTAATAATTATGTTTTTAATTATTTAAATAAAAACAAAACTATTTTGCTGATTTGACCCACTATTGCAATATAATAAAATTATAAACTAATTTTGTAATGTTTAATTATATATCAATTAATTATCAAATAATTTTTATTATACTATTTGCAACTTATATGTTTAAAAAGTAACCGTAAAAATATTTGTTTGATTTTATTATATTAATATATAAATATATAATAACACGCATTTTAATTTAATATAATATAAACATAATTAAATTAATCAGAAAAAAAACTAAAATTAGTTAATTAGTGTAATAATATATGATAAAAATTATTTAATTAACATTGTTTGACAAAATAAATATATACTGTATATATAGATAAAAACATTTTAAAAACTGTAACAAAATAATTTAGCTATAGTTTAATAGTATTAATAATTATATTTATAATATGTCTATTGACAGGACCCTGAATCACCGTATAATTAAAATAATTTAATTAAAACTAATGATTAGTAATAATATAAGTAATAATTTATTTTTGTTAATTAAAACTTATTAAAAAAAATAAATTTTATGCACATATAAACATATAACTTAATATATTGTAATTGTTTAATTGTAAAATTAAATATTTTATTTTTAATTGGCAAATATTAATAGTTTTGTTTTTGTTTTTAATTATTTGAATTAATTTTAATCATATAATAATAATTAATAAAATAATCAATTAAAAAAATATTTGCAATATTGTTTAATATATATATATATATGTATATCTAATATATGTTTAAAATGCAATTTATTATTAATATCTATCATCTCTATCAAAAAATATATGTTATTTTACTTAATATTATTATTTTTGTTTTAAGTTTATAATAAATAATTTTAAACAAGTTTCTATACATTATATATATTTATATATACAGTATATTTATAACATTAACTGTTTTACACACAAAAATCTCATCAAACATATGTACGACACATGTGTTTTACAAATTACAATATAAACTAAACTAATAGTTAACTGATTTTTACAATTTTGCTAACAATATATGACAATACAGTAGATATGTGAACCTTGTTTATTATTTATTCAGTGGGTGAGTGAGTGGGTGGATGAGTGGGTGATAGTTTTACTACAAATATTCAGTACAAGTAGTTTATAGTATCAGTTGTGTTATACATTGGATATCCATTGCTATTGAATTAACACAATATAAGAGCCAAAACTATTGCTTTTAGTTTTGTTTGAGACACTTGTATTTGAGTAGTAGTTATCACTGTTTTGCTATAAATTTGTTTGTATATTTTGTTTCAATAATTTTTTTTTATTTTATATAATAAATATGGATTCAATAAATAATAAAACTCTTAATATTAAGAAATGGATATAATAAATGATAAATTGGTTAATATTAAGTATATGTTAAATAGATTATGTGTATTGAAATCATTACACATTAGTATTAGTGATAAACAAACATATAGTTTGTCACAAAATATTATTAGTAGTGTTTTGTTTGAGACAATTGATGGCTTGAATGCAATGAATATTCAAACAACAAATGATTGCATTTCTATGAAAATCATTGATTATAGTGACTGTTATGACAACAACAACACACGTGTAGATAATAATAACCAATTTATATGCTTTTGGCCCAAATGTCGGATCAATTTTACTAATAAATTTAATTTAATTGAACATCAATTGATTCATTCATCTAAAAAACAATTCAAATGTAATTATTGTAATAAAATATTCAAATATCGTACAACTTTACGTGTATGTACAGTCATGTACAAATGTCAAAACATTTTTACAACCCTGGTGTTTTTATTACGAAATTAATCATAATTTATGTAGTTTAGTGAGTGGGTGAGTGAGTTAGAGAGAAAGAGAGAGAGAGAGAGAGATGATATTCCTTCACGTTATTAATAATTAAAAAAAATAAAAAAATATATAAATGAGATGTCGAGTATTGCGATAAAACAATTAAAAATATATTTAAGTAAATATTGGTATTTCATTTGGTTAGTCCTCAAACTGTTTGCTCAACCAATTGGGTGACAAACAAACAATACATATCTTTCAGGTGTATCCCTCAAAAACTCATCACAAAACGGTTTTTAGATACCGTTTCTAACGTTGAAAATCACACCAAACAATGACTAAAATAGGAAATGGATATCATATCACTGTATATACAGATATATATATATATTTATATTTAATCCTTAAACCTGTTTATTAATTGTTATTACATTTTATACTTAAGGTATACTAATACTAATGTATTTTGTGTTTTGATGTATATATATAGTACTGGCCCTCAATTTAGTCCAACTCACTGATAAAAAAAACTTATTATAATTATATAAAAATATTAAATTTAATCAATTAATATATCTTTAAAGCATAAATAAATTATACATTAATTGTTTTAATATAATGATAACTATGAACCACCTCTATATAAAATGATATGTACTAATAAACTAATAATACTAATTAAACAGATAATAAATAGATTTTAAAGATTAAATAAAAAAACTCATATATAAAATAAAATGATATCTACTTTAATATCATTTAAAGCAAATATTATTTAAATGTGATGTTGAATATTGTAATAAAACATTTTCAACTAAAGGCAAATATAAAATACATAAATTAAGTCATTTGAGGAAAAAACAATTTAATTGTTCAGTAAACGAGTGTTTAAAAACATTTACAACAAATCATTGTTTACGACAACACAAATCACGGGATCATTCAATTGAATCACAATTTAAATGCAATTATAAAAACTGTGAAAAAACATTTTTAACTTCAATTGGTTTGAATTGTCACAAACGTACTGTTCATTTGGGTATAATTTAAAGCCATTCAAATGCGATGTCGACGACAACTATATGAAACAATTTGCTGTTAAAAATAGTTTTTTACGACATCGACGAACACATTCAGACATTAAATCAATTATAAATGTGATGTAAATAATTGCAACAAATTTTTTAAAAGAAAAGAAAGTTTCAAATATCATAAATATATTTTTCATCAATTAGTCAACTAATAACTAAATAATTTTTTTTTTAAATATTATTTGTTTACTGATTAGATATACTGTATTTAAATACACAATAGTATTATTGATAAAATAAACAAATAGTTTGTCACAAAATACTGATGTTTTGTGCGAATCGATTGATGGCTTGAATTCAATGAATATTACAACAAATGATTGCATTTCAATGAAAATCACTGATTATAGTGACTGTTATTACATCAACAATAACAAGCGATTCAAGTGTTTTTGGCCTAAATGTCGGTTTAAAACTAATAATACACAAAAATTTTGATTATCATAAAACAACTCATACATTACATAAGCAATATTATCTAACATTTTTGTTTATATGTTTTTTACATATTATCATATTATACTGTATATAAATAAACAATAATAATACTTATCTATGAATGCTATTTAATGATTCAAAAAGTTATTATCAT